CCGACGCCCCTGGTTATCTCACTTATCTGTACGGAAATAAAGTCATTATGTATTAGACTTTAGAGCAATGATAAAATTGAACATCCAGATGATTGTTATGTTGAGAAAAGGCTATTTTGAGGTTGATTTTGGAGAATATTCAACGTAATTTTATTTAATTTTATATAAAGGAAATTTGAAGGAAATTTCACAATTTTTTGAAGGAAATTTCGGTCAAAATAAGGGAAAAAAAAGGATTTTTTTGGTTTTCAAAGTGGAAGCACTGCTTTTCAGATCAGAGACGACAGAATGAAACGAAGGACACGAAGCGCTGAAGAAATGTTGAGAATGTATAAAACTAATAATTTATAAAAGGTAAAAGCAAATGTTTTGTAGCAATGAATAGCCATAATAATTGTCAACCGATAGGTGACCTATAGGGAGTAAATAAAGTATGAAACGGGAGACGTTTTGAAAGTAATTTGAGACAATGAGTTCGGACTAATTTTTTTAAATGCGACTTAATTGATGGGTAATACTTCATGTTAACATGAGTAGTAGCTGTGTGAGAGCGAGTGTATTAAAAGTATCGATGGAGGACATGGAGTACTTGATTTTAGGGTTATTTCTAGGTAGTTTGTTCTTTTTCAAGCGGCAGCGAAATATTGATTACGCCTTTATTTTGTCGATTTGTCGAAATATTTATAAAATGCATCTTTTATTACCCACCTGCTGTGGTATTCTTGTGGGTACCAGCGGTGTGTGAGAAATACAATTACATATCTACAGTAAGTAATAAAAGCTTCCTATCTTGAATAGCTGTCCCAGCCACATTAGCATTTTCTGATGACTGCAAATGACTGCCCCTCTTTATTAAAGTGCACTTGAATAACTTAGTACTGTCTTGCACTTAACTTGGTGGAATAAATATTAGGATGTTAGGGTTTGTAATCCAAGTGAGAATATATACATTTTAAGACCTAACCAGGAACAACTGCGACTGTGGTAGGAATCGAACCTACGGCCCTGCGATTCCGGAGCAGCGGTCTAACCAACTGAGCTACAGAGGCCAGCTGTTGAGCTGTAACCTTAAAATGTATATATTCTCACTTGGATTACAAACCCTAACATCCTAATATTTATTCCACCAAGTTAAGTGCAAGTACTAAGTTATTCAAGTCCACCTTATCACAACCCGCACACCCGATTACCTATATATACATGAATTTACGGTTGCAGCTCAACAGTTGGCCTCTGTAGCTCAGTTGGTTAGAGCACTGCTTCGGAATCGCAGGGCCGTAGGTTCGATTCCTACCAGAGGACCTTGTGCTGCATTTTTTGCAGTCGTTCCTGGTTAGGTCTTAAAATGTATATATTCTCACTTGGATTACAAACCCTAACATCCTAATATTTATTCCACCAAGTTAAGTGCAAGTACTAAGTTATTCAAGTTCACCTTATCACAACCCGCACACCCGATTACCTATATATACATGAACTTACGGTTACAGCTCAACAGCTGGCCTCTGTAGCTCAGTTGGTTAGAGCGCTGCACCGGAATCGCAGGGCCGTAGGTTCAATTCCTACCAGAGGACCTTGTGCTGCATTTTTCGCAGTCGTTCCTGGTCAGGTCTTAAAATGTATATATGCTCACTTGGATTACAAACCCTAACATTCTAATATTAATTCCACCAAGTGAAGTGCAAGAAACCAAAATCTTTGTAATCCTAGACCTGGCTTACACCATAGTCTATTAAGATACGATGTCTGGAAGCCTGGCAAACTTCAAAGCCACAAAATAGAAGAGCTTTGTTTGATGTTAAACTGTGCCTCACCATGCACAAATCCTTTGTCTCAACTTGATTAAATATTATTCATCGTGGTTGCACGTTTCATCTCAGCTATCCCTTTTGGACGATTACATCATTATACGAAAATACAATGAGCTCAATCACTGTGAACGTGCACAAATTAACATAAACTCCGACAAAAACATAATATAATGACTTCTGTTTAGTTTCCACACCAACATATCTTGATAGACTATGTTTACACTATCAAAGTTTCTGTGATCACAGTAGGAATTTTGCATTGGTAAATTCTAAGTTTTGAAGGATTTGTAAGAAATGTTTGAGGAAACTGACTCAGTATTAAACACTCAGTCAGTTTCCTCAAACATTTCTTACAAATCCTTCAAAACTTAGCATTTACCAATGCAAAATTCCTACTGTGATCACAGAAACTTTGATAGTGTAAACCATCCTTTATAACACTCAGTAAGTTCCCTCAAACATTTCTTACAAATCCTTCAAAACTTAGCATTTACCAATGCAAAATTCCTACTGTGATCTCAGAAACTTTGATAGTGTCAACCAGTCTTTAACATGTGATAGCTAAATAGTATTTAAGCCCCGTTTACACTACGCTCAATTTTTGAAACGGCACGGATAAAATTGGTACCCGTACCATTTTTTTTGTTCTTGGACTACCTATTTAGGTAGTCCAAGGACCAAAAAAGTGGTACGGTACCAAAAATCGAGCGTAGTGTAAACGGGGCTTTAATGTCGTTAGGATGCGTTCCAGTAGTTGCAGGAAGAGATTATTTCACTGGCCTCAAAGTGACAAAACGTAACAAAGCAACGGTTTTACTAACACTAACCCTACTCCAAACACCAACTCTAACCCTAATCCTTACCCTAACCCTAACCTAACCCTACTCCAAATTTGTTTCTAAACCAATCTTGAAGAAAAAGGTTTTGACGAAATGTCATTCTGAGGTCAGCGAAATAGTTGATGCCGTAGTTTGCATTACCTGTTAGTTCCATCTCCATGCAGAAAGACTTTCGTGACTTGTTCAGGTGACTCAGGTTCTCCTTCATCAAGACAGAGAACAAATAAAGCACTATCAATCATCTTCAGAGGCTCTGTGTTAGTCATCACAGTTTCCAGTTCTTGACGTGCTGATGTCCAAGGATCTCGGTCTTCTGAGGTTAGAACTGCGACTGGATATTGAGCATGTGTACTGTCATCTAGCACGATTGCTTGAAGATTGAGCAGGATTTCTGATGCTGGACGGATCGCGCCTGTAGTGATATGATGTCACAGATTGACAACTTTTTCAAACACTGCCCATAAACTAAACTTTATTATTAACATCATTTCCAACAGTAGCGGCACTTCGCGAAGTATTTGGGGTAGGGGGCAGGCGAATTAGACATATGACTACTTTGTGTAGCTTGAAATCTTAGCTCTTTAAAATTTTTTGCCTTAAAACTCATGCAATATATAGCTTAATTGATAGCCTACCAATCCTGTCATGGTTGAAAAATTATTGCTATTGAAGAATAATTCAGTTATGATTCAAAGGCACACCCTGCCCCCCCCCCCCCTTGGGTCTGGCATTGATTTCTAAACTGTTCTCCCTAGAGGTACAGTACAGGCAGTCTTAATAGTCCAGTGGTACTACAGGAGGAAACTGGAGCTTGTGCCTGTCAAAAATACACCATATTTGTGAGCACTCTTCAGTCTTCTCATACACGATGGAGGTGCAACTATAGAACCCTGTCACTATAGTGCAGGAATTGAACCCTGAACACAAAGGTTCAAACACATGCACTAACCAGTGTGGCATTAACTGGCATTAACTTGCAGAAGTCATAGATCACATGGAAGGTTTTACTAACCTGTTTCATTGATAACATCAACGGTGTAATAATTGCCATTATGAATAACAAGAATATGTCTGCTATCTTCATATGTGACCAGTTTATCCTTGCCTGGTTGTGGGACACGAGTGGAAGCCAACATACGATTATACTGACTCATGTCTAAGGGAAATGCTTTGAGCAGGTAAGCACCAAACCATGACAGACTTGATGGTACAAATCTGGAAAGACATGGTGGATGATAAGACTGGGTATGAATTTTTTTCTGTGTTGGTGTAGTGTACTCAGGTGAATATGATATTTGTGGCGTTACTCTGAGTGTATATCCACACCGGGCGAGCTTGAATAATATGCCCGGCCACGGTGGGATTCGAACCTACGACCTTTGGAATACTAGCCCAATGCTCTTCCAACTGAGCTACGCGGTCAGGACGGTTCGAGTAAGTCTCGAAATACCTTATAATTTTCTTGAACCAATCAGTGTCACTCTTCTTTGGATTTAGGTGGAAAATTTCAGGATCTAGAATTTTATCATCCAGCGAGTTCTTGAATTTCATTGCAGAAATTATGAAATTGGTTGCTCTCACCAACTAAACATTGATGAAAAATACAAATTCAACAAAATTGTCCAATATGGATGGCTTAAGCTCCGGTCAAATAAGACTTGATGAAAGTTGACTGTTATGAATTGTTACAGGGGACATTTCAAGCTCTAAAACGAATCCAGCTATCGACTAATTTTTTATTTAGACAGGAAAGACGAAATATATCATTATAGCTCAAAAGAGCATCCTAAAATTAGTAAAATTGCAAAGCTTGGTTGCGAAATGTTGTAAAATACGGAAAATATAGCCCTGTGAATTTTCAGTCTGATTTTAGTATTACGCGCGGTAAAAAGAACCATTTTTGAGTCGAAAGTGGTTATTTTTACCGCGCGTAATACTAAAATACTGAAAATTCGCTAATTTCGCAATGGCAATATTTTCCGTATTTTATTTATTTACTTATTTATTTTATTTATTAGTTTCGCCATATTACAATACACAAAACTATAACAGGAACAAGAATAATATACATGACTATAGGCAGGGTGACCGCAACAGCGTGAGCCAATTACTGCGGGCCCGAATTAGGACATACAAACATAAAAAAA